TTCATTTGTGATCATTTCAATTTGTTTAACGGTTTGCTGTTTATTGTAAGTTCAGTTCGAATCCTTCGTTCTCAACGTGCCCCTTTTTCCTTGACAATACCGTCAACTGCGCCGTTACAGTAACTTTTTTTGCACATTTGTGTCGAGTTCCATTCTGAGAATATCATTTACAACATCATTAAGCAAATGAGAATAACGGAAATAATTATCAGGAACTATTACACCTTCCAAGACAAAATATTTGAGTCCTGTGAACTGAAGAATTGAATACTGCATCATATCATGTCGCGCGGTGCATAACTTCTTCTATTATATGAATGGAACCATCGGCCGGAGTACTAGGGAATCAGTCGATTGACATTGAGGTAATTACAGTATTACTAGGGGCTCATTTGACCTTGAATAATTTGGCTTGCAACTGCATAATAAGGGGGAAACTCTCCGGGCTGAAAATTTTAGGTCCTTGCATAATTTCCCAGACAAATTGTTGGAGCGCTTCGCGAGAATATTCCTGATGAGTTGTAAGCTCCCGCCGAGTTGAAGAAGCAGCCAGCAGTCATTCAACATTCAAAACTGACTAATTATTCATCGAATAACGTTGGTTCTAATCGAATTATAGGCTGGAACTGAAGCTGTTCGTGCACTGTTCAAAATTTACCATTCCCTGTTTTTAGCTTCAGATGGCAAAGTTGTATGAACCAACCAAACAAGGTTTCTATTTGTATCTCCTTGAATTAGATGACTCTTGCATATGACAAAGTCACTTCGCGTGAATCGCATAAGTTCCCTTCTGAACTTGGCAGTACAGTATCTGTGTAAAGACATGCCTACACTCCCCCCCCCCCCCAAATAAAGATGACTGACAGGCGTCTGCAGCTGAATGCAAACAAAATGCCGTCACTCACAGTCATTACAATGTCATTAAATGATGGGTGGTGAAACTCAAACGCGCTCATCTGTTTATCCATGTATAGTAGCCAACTCGGAATTGATGCCCTCAAGAGCACAATGACGGGGTTTTGCATGAATCGATGATTCGAAAATCAAACTCGATCTGAAATCCCAAATGCAAAGGCGTGTGAAGAAGGGCTGTTCTCAAAAGGCATTGGTGCGATAAGAAAATCATTGTGTTTTACTGCTGCAAGGTTTCTGGTATGCAAAACGTTCTTTCGATCGGGAATGTGACGGGAATGAGATATCAAACTTGCACATTGTTTCTTTGTGAAGCAAGAGTCAGTTTGGCTTCACTATCCTCAATCGCATTGCGTCGAACAACGAATTTAACTTCCTTCCCATCTTATTTTTTTATTGGAATCAACGGTAAGTAAAACTCTGTGCGAGAGACAACGAGGCTCATAATGTCCTCTCGTCCAACCTTTCGTACGCCTTCGATTGAGAAGAATTTTTCTTATTTTTAGTAAAATTTCATGGTTTTCGAGCAGTATGAGTGGCACTGCTTCGATCGTGGGAGAACCGCACAACCCGAATGCCAATAGTCCCCGCCATGAGCGTTGTTCTTCTGACACGAGGGACGTGAATATTGGCATGTGAGCATTCTTGGTTCCAGATTTTGCTCCGCTAGTTAAGACGGATCATTGCAGTACAATGCTAGCATAGCAAAATGGCATCCTGTTTCCACACACGTAGGAATATGCATCTCCTGTCAACCCTTGACACCTTCGCTCTCTGTTTCGATTTGGCAACGATCGATGCTGGCTTAAATTAGTTTCTTGCTCATCTAGATGTAGAGATAAAACCGAGACGTTGCTGCCTCAAAATCTTTTCCTTCGAATTCCGCGGGATGAAACTGCCGTCAATGGAAATTGATTCCAGAACTGGTTCGCAGAAGTGAATTTGGGATAAAACCAAGGAAATGTCATTTCCCGCAACAAGAGAAAACTTCCGTGCACACCCGGATGCTTCTTGTCCATCTTCTGTCTGTAACCAAAGGATTTTGGCAGTTTCAGCAGTCAAAAATACCTGGTGTTGATATTTTTCAGTCTGTCAGTCATGGTGGAAATGATTCCATGAATGATTCATCAAGTACAATACTGAATACACGTTTCGGTAACTACGACAATGTAATGTGATTGCCGAGAAAATTGGACATCCAGTACGCAGATGAAAATCTTAACGATTAACAATAAAATGTATCCCATTCCATTTTGAATTAAGCTGTTTCATAATCCAAGCCGTACATTGTTTTTGATGGTATTTGGTTCAATTTATAATTTTCACAGTCAACCTACTTTTCTGTTTGATCTCACAAGATGAACATCTTCTGATTTCCTCAGGAGACTCATCCGTTGGTGAAAACCGTTCAAAAGTCATCATATACGCAATAAAGGGTATATTTTTGTTACTTGGAATCATATTGCCTTGTCCATAATTTAATACAGTAAAATCTCATTGCAGTACATCAAACTCATCTGGACTTCAGAAAGCGTTTGTTCTGACAAATAATTTGTTATAACAAGAGTTTAAAAATGTTTGACTGATTGGAAGATTTAAAAAAATTAAACCTGCATATACATACTCAACATATTCCTTCTGTGACCTTTTCAGATTGTTTTACGGTGTTCAAGAAACTGCAATCTTCAAAAATAAGTTTAAATGTTAATAACATTTGCTCTGAGTAATAGGTAAACACTAGCCCTTTTCCTTGGCTAAGTTTTTCTGAGGAATTCCTGCACATATTTGTAAGGGTGGGTGCTCCAAAAAAAGCTTACAATTTTTGGGCATCCGTAGGGTTTCTCAAGCATACAAACCCCTTTTAACATGAGTTTAACTGGGTTAATTTTTTCATCCCTCCCCCCCAATATTTCCTAACCCAGGAGCATGTTTTCAAGGAGAGGATGCTCACTTGAATTTGGAAGAATTTTTGCCCTTGATTCCACCCTGCGTTCCAACAACCAAGTCACATTTCAAATGGAAAATTTGAGACTGTGCCTGCCTTAATTGGGGATTTTTCATCAAGAAATTACAAAATGTTGCTCAGAAAAGTTTATTATCCTGAAATTGACAATTTTGTTGGATTGAGATTTTTATACCATGCACTCTACAGGATTTTTCCAAGTACTTGGAAAAAAGTTTGTTATACAGTATTGAAGCATTTGTTGTAACGAGATTTTACTATAGTGCAGTACTACGCATAATTCTGAGCAATGGAGACGTCAAGAATGAATGGAAGATGGGATTTCTGCATGAGGTCTGCAGCATTGCAAGTCTTGGGGGACAGGCGAATGATGCACGAGTGGGAATGACAACGACACTTCTCTTGTCATCCGAGGTGGAACAAAGAGAACAATACGAACACGACGCTTTCACAACTCCAGATGCACTCCGATTTTCGAATCACGACGTGCCTCTAGCTTCGTCTCATGAATGGAAAAGAAAACATACGACAGAAACATTCCTTCGTCACGACTATTTTAAATCAAATGAGGACTTTGACTACTCGTCAGGAGATTTCAAAAAGCATGAGCAATCATGATCAGATTAAATTCATCTCCGCTATTCTCTTAATTTTAAATTTCGGCCGGGCAGTAATAACGCGATTAGCAGCAAGACATGGTCACCCAATGATCCGCAAACAAGATCAGCGGAATATGAATTTAGCTACCCTAATTTTCGCCACAAACTCAAGATGCCACCAAACTACAGTACAGTATTGGCATGCATCATTCGCTTCCGAGAATCATCATTGCTACTGAATTACTGAAGACGTTGGAAGAATGTTTCCACCATCATACGAAGGCTTCCCGAGAATAAACGTGCACGAAACCTGAATTAGTTCAAAATCAACGGACAAATGAGAAATCTGACTCATCGAAAGCTGAGGTTCTTGTCTTTCGAACGAAATCCAGCTCTTGAAGCCTTCTGAAGAGTTTTTTCCTTTCAATATGCAAGATTCGAGCTAGCAATAATCAAACTGCGTCAAAATCGATTAGGCATTAAATTTAAAAAGATTGTGTGCTCTATATCTGACGTGGTTTGATCATCTGTACGTTGCACTATACAGTACTGTACTGCGCTGTGCTGATCATACAAGGTAATCTGACGGAAGAGCGTCGTTTCATTGAAGGTGAGCCCCTCGTGAAGCACTTATGATGCTACTGTAGCGACACCTATTAGTGAAATGTTATACTGCTGCATTGTTGTTGAACCCAAAAACAGAGATGCCGGCTGGTGCTTTGTGAAAATGATCCATGAAAATATTTCCAAAATATCTGTTTGATTGTACAATATTCCAACATTGCAAGGTCGTTACTAGGTTTGAAGTACAATACGCTTGCGGGAAAATGAATAGCTTGAGTAAAAGTTTTGCATAAAGTTTTGATCTGAAAAGAAAATCGAGGCGAGCATCGGTGCTTGAAAAAATTTAGAACTTCATGAAAATAATGCGCATTGTACTTTTCGAAAAGATGCCGGAAAAAAATGTAAAAAGAAAAACATTATTTTGAAGTATCTGAATAAAATTAACGCTTCCGTGGCGTTTTTAACAAAAAATGACCGAAAGCATGCGCACGAATGTGAAATTAAAAATATTTCACAGGTAGTTACTGTCATTAAAATATGCGATTGAACCAATGAGCTCCTGCATAGAAGTCTACCCATTATTATGAGACAGCTACAGCCCACCTCATGGATGTTATACAAGCCGCAGATATCCTTCAAAGATGACCGGCAGCATGGAGCATAAGCAGAATTAAAGGAGCGATTCGAACTGGTTCACTGTTCCTCTCATCGAGTCTGGGTTAACATTGAACGCTTTTCGACCTGTCGTGATGTTGGTCCCTCTTGTTCTCTAGTCAAGTAGTGTATACTTGTACAGTAATGTTTAGCGAATGATAACGCAAGCTAGATCTGTTTTACCTTACTTACGAGCAAACTCATGCATGCTAGTAAAATAACACAGATGTCACTGCTACAAAATAGCTGCGCAATTTTAGTCTCCCCTAGTAAGGCCTAGTTTACATTCCATAACACGGCATGCACGTTTATGAAAGCGTTTCATTCTCGTCGACAGAAGCGCGCCCTCTGATAATTGATGATATGAAATAATGCATTCAAGTGATTTGCATCGGACGAAAGCATCGTAATTAAAAGCGGAACTCTGACTGATGGGGCACCGCATAACCGAAAGCTGATTAATTTTTAGTAACACTATCCCTGTAGAACTCCAGAATTTACATGTTCATGTTGAAAGTATGTATCCACAACTAGCATCACTCCGTTGAGGATTCCCCCTTCATTATTTGTCAAAGGAATCATAGTACTGTATACATATGCTTGTAAATCACACTTCAGCAGTCGGGAACTATAACAAAAAATAACTGGATTGGTTTAGTTTAAGCTACTTTCAGCGGACAGAATCGGCAAGCACCTTTTCTCACAGAAAATACGTACCTTTCGATCGGAATTGGATGAGCCTCTCCCGAAAAGGCGAAACGGTGTAGGAACATGAGGAACTTTTGATAGGCGTCAAGAAACGGCCAATGAGAAAGGAAACAAATGCACTTTTTCGCGAACACCCTCAACTGTAACGGGTCACTCTGTTCCGGATAGGACAACAGTTTTCTTTGCTCGTGCGTCACTTTCTCGGCAGGATGTTCTTCATAGAATGCCACTGCGGCTCCGTACCACGATTTCACAGATCCCTGAGAAAATAAAAGACAGTATCGTCTCCCAAGAACTCTCAAAGGAAAGCTGGTCGCAAGTTTCTCGAACCTCACTGTGTGCATTCGTTAATGAAAGCACAAATGTGGAAAAGACGGGCTTCGGCGCCCTGGCCTTTGGAGGCCACCATTCCAAAGTAGCACCTAACGGCAAGCCAAAAGTCGCAATACTCGGTGGTAGTGGGCAATCGTCGTAGTCTTCTACCGGATACCTCCATATTATTTCTAAAAATCAACGAAAACGAGGAAATCAGAAAAACGACACTTCTTGTTACATC